AAGGTTATTTCTCTACTTCCGGCGCTCTGCGCTCGGTGTGCCCAGGGCAGAGCTGTGACCCCCACACTCGTTTCTCTAGCCCATGGCGCCATTTCTGGGCACGATTCTGTCTTTGCAGCCACCCATAGGGCCAAGGTATTTTTGTCCCACTGGATCAGACAACAGAAATGCTCAGGGAAAGAAGCGGGTGTCGTTCTGGGGCACTTCCATGCACTGGAGAGAGGCGGGTTTGCTTGGGGAGAAGTTTGCATGGATCTTTGGCCAACTCCTGCCGCAGGTGAGGCTACAGCACGGGCAGGGCCTCCCCCCCTCTGCAGCGGGAGGTCTCTGTGGGCCCCCTGCTCACAGTGCCCTATAGGGCAGGGGAGAGACTCCAATCCCTCTTTTCATGCTGCAGCCTCCCCCAGGGGGCTCTCCTGGCACAGACAGCTCCTGCCCCCTGCGCTCATGGGCCAGTGAGGCGAGCAAGTGAGCAGCTAGCCCAGAGCTCAGGCCCGCGGGCTGTGGGGCCAGGGCGCTGGGGGTAGGTGAGGGCTGGGAGCGGGAGGAGACTGCAGAGTCTAAAGCTCTAATCCCCCAGCGAGCGCTTTCCTCCAAGACTCAGCATTACTGAGGATTAGCCTCTTCACCTCTTCCCTGCATCTCCTTGTGCCGTTCAGGGCTGGCGGGATCCCCCTTCCAGAGCGGGAGGTCTCAGCGCAGGGGGACTCGGACGCAGCCCCTAATTCATGTGCAGACGCGCCAGGCATCTAGCAACAGGCCAGCCCGTCCGGGGCCTGTGAAAAGTGCCAGGCCCGAGGCAGGCTCCGGCCGGCCACGGCCGCGTGGGTCAGGGAGACGAGATGCTGTCCTGGAGCCTTTGCCTTAGGCCTTACACGCCCCAGAGGATCCAAGGAGCCGAGCAGGCCGGGCAGAGACCTCGGGGGCAGTGGGTTCCTTGCTGGGCGGCGCTCCCCCGAGTTGGAAACGAAGCCACATGCAGGGCAGGGATGGAGCCTGCCTCCCGGCCACAGCTGGGTGAGACGGGCAGCCAGGCTGAGGGCAGCACCCGTCCCAGTGCCCGCTGGGGCTTTGTGAGGAGACGGGGCTGCTGGCTGGGCCTCGGGGCGCTGCAGGACTCTGCTCCCCTTCGCCCGGGCCCCTCAGGAAGCGGCCCCTCCCTTGGCCCCAGGATCACAGCCCCCCCGAGAGGAGGGTAGGAAGAGACCGGAGGAGGCCTTTAGTCCAGCCCCCGGCTCCAAGCAGGGCCGAAGGATGCTGGGCCGAGGCACCAGCCCACGTGCCACGGGTGGGGCAGAGGCGCCCAGCTGGCCCTCAGGGAAGGAGCTCCTGCATGCGGGGGTGCAGGTTCCTGCAGGAGAAGGGCCTGACAGAGCCGAGTGGGTTGCTCCGGTGGCCGGGGCAGCCTATGGTCAGAGAGCTGTGTCCAGCTGGCCTTCCCTCCGCAGAGAGGCAGGGGCATGCTGCGGGGCTCTCCCTGGGCCGTGCACGCAGGGACAGGCAGAGCTGTGAGAGGCTGGGAGAGGATGGGACTTCCCCTTCTCCGGCCGGCCCGGCCCGGCCCATGGAGACGGGTCAGTGAGGACCCTGCACCCTGCAGGGAGCATCCCCAGGCTGG